GCAAATTTGTCTTCAACCTTTTGTCTCTGCCCAAAAACCATGCCGCTCTAAAGTCTTACAATGACCATTCATCTCTCCAAAAATTTCCTTGCCTACCTGAACTTTTATGACCTTTGTCCCACTAAAAAGATGAATTTAATTGAAGATAAGAAATAAGAAAGAACAATTATGTACACAGTGTATGCAATAAACTTGAAATCATAACTTCTTAAATCTGAAATAACGACATTTTTTTCGAGCGAAATAAATAATTGATCGATCAATTTGAAATCATAAATTAGTGTTGCCTTACTTGTAAGTTGTAACCATCTTTTGGTCTCAATACCTTTTGCCTAAGCACTATTAGCATCCAATAAACCAATTTTTTAGTAAATCGATATTTGGATGGAGGCACACATTTAGTTATGGTTTCACTTTCCTTTTACAAAATTTACCATCTCATAGCAAGTTTGACGTGATTGTCTAATGAGACTAAGACCTTGTTTGAGCCTCATTCTTTAAAAACGCATTTTTTCTTCAAATTCATTTTAGCGATGCATTTTACTAATAAAATAATTTAAAACATAAATTTAATTTTTTTTTTCATAGTTTTAACCATGTATTTTTTTCAAAAAATCACTATTAAAAGACTTATTAATTCACAAAAAATGAGGATCAAATTGTTCCTTTTGAAAATCAACTTGCAACTTAAGCAATAGAGTGGCGACCAATGGTGCAATTTTCTCTTAACATTTTGAACATGTCAATTGTCAAGCATTAAATGAAAGAAAGAAACCTTGCCAGTGACAGTATATTCGTTTTCTAGAAATATCTCCTATTAAAAACTATGTTCATACAATATTATGCTGGTAAAAGAAGTTATCCACACACAAATTTGTATGATATGTTTTCACTTTCTTTGATTCATGCTCATAAAAAGGGTTGGCTCTTTTCCTTTAATGGCATTATTGCTGGTGAATATGAGATATAATAAAGAAGAAATACTGTGAATAATTTTAGAAATGAATAAATCTTAACGCGAACTTTCCTTGATCCACGAGCATTTGAATTTTTCCATCAAATATTGTTTCTGTGTATAATATAGCTTATTTTGTAAACTACCACATGTCAATTCAAGAAACTAAATTTAATTGTTGAGTGTCACCATATACTATTTAATAAATAATTGAAAAGTTTGTCAAGTATTGATACTTAAATGATCATTTCTCATATTAAACATATTATATAAATTATATAAGTCTGACAAAAGCGATGATACCATACAGTTAATTTAAGTCATCCAATGTCATAATTTCGTATTCAAATATATATTGTAAATACGACTAACATATTTAACATGATATATATTGATGATATACCTACCAAACTTGTCTAAATCCGAATAAGTTGGTGACTTCGTGCAATTAATTGTTTGTCGTAATCCCCCAACAACCATGATTATGATGTATGATAAAGAGAAGGGTGGAAATGTAAAATAACATCTGACAATTATATTGAACACATGTTCAGCATCTCATGTATCCCCTATTTTTTATCCTTAAAGATCTGCTAACATATTGGGTTCTCGCTCTAAATCTCCCCATCCTCCAACAACTTTTGAACCCACTTACCCCGCCACCTTCCCTCAAAAAACGCACACAGAGTCACACAGGATCCAAGAAACATGGCAACCAGCTCAATTTCTAGTGCAGCAAAAAATCTCATCAATTTCAGTACGAGAAATGTTGATTCCCAGAAAAAATCAATCTTTTCAAAGCACCTTTCATTCTCCAATTCATCCATTTCGCTTCAAAAACTTTCACTCTTTAAAGGTTCCCATTTTTCAAGAAAATTGCAAAAAACACCAATATCTAATGTCCTCGAAACTGTCGAATCAAAGTCCGATTTGTTGTCAAGAACCCGGGATCCCGGCAACTTAGTCAAAACTGAAAGGCCAACAATCCTTGTCTCCGAAAAACTCGGAGAAGCGGGTCTGGATTTGCTAAGAACTTTCGGGAATGTTGAGTGTTCGTATAACTTGTCCCCTGATGAATTGTGCGCCAAGATCTCGTTGTGTGATGCGCTGATTGTGAGGAGTGGGACTAAGGTTACGCGGCAAGTTTTTGAGGCGGCGAAGGGGCGGCTTAAGGTGGTTGGTAGGGCGGGTGTTGGCATTGATAACGTGGATCTGCAGGCGGCGACGGAATTTGGGTGTCTTGTGGTCAATGCCCCCACCGCCAACACCATTGCTGCGGCGGAGCATGGCATTGCTTTACTTGCTTCCATGGCGCGTAATGTTGCACAAGCTGATGCTTCCATGAAAGATGGTATGTATATATTTTAATTCTTTTGAGTGTTCACAAAGTATGGTTCAATTAAAGCAGAAGATAGTCTTCTTCTTGTTCTGTGCTTATTCTTTATCTATATTTTTTAGTTAATTTGCTAAACACAGAATAATCTGCACCAGTTAAATGGCTATGGAGTTGGGTTATGTATTTGATACAATACTAGTTTGCTGTGAACCTTTAGGACTAATTCATCTAATTGGTTAGATCTGTAAGCTTGCTGAGCAAAGTCTATGAGAAAAAATGAAAATGTAAATGACACGACCCGTCCCGATCACCCTAATGGATCCGACACGTGTCGTGCGCCGATTGTAGATACTAGCTAAATGCCGGACCCACCACCAAGGCAAACTTGACATGCTTTGACAGTTATAATTTTATAAAAATTTCGACA